GAGGTTGAAATCGTCCTTTGGCTCGTAGCGAGGGGTGTGGAGAAGTAATGCCTTTCGAGTTGACCCCGCGATGTATCGGATAACTGGTCCAGTGGGCTCGTAGGAGTCGTCTTCAATAAGAGAACCGACAAGTACCGCCCTTCGAGTCGACCTAAAGAGATGTTGATTCGGTGAGTCGGCTAAGTCAGGATTATTGGTGGTCCTGACCGTCAAATCGATTTGAGTAGTACATGTAAGGGGACATCTGTCCGTTGCTGGCAAAAGTATAGTCTTCACCCAAAGATGATGTAAGATTTCAAAATTGAGGATTTATTTTTTTTTTTCTTTTTATATTTTTGATCGAATTTTGACGAACTTGATATAACGGGGAAAAAAAGAAAAAGAAAAGAGACGAAACTAAATGTTTTAATTTTCAGAAAGCTACATTGATGTTGTCCATATGTTTTTCATTGCATGCGGTAATGTATGAACATGCATTTGAGCTGGTTGTATTATCATGAACAAGTGTTTAAATTTCATCCCCTGAAGTCGCAATCCATTGGTCCTCAATCTTTCTTGAAAGAGCAACTCTATGGACCGGGTGCAACAGTAATTAGTCTTTAACTCTACGAACCATATCTTTCATATTATTAACGTGGGGACACTGCTTCCTGCCTTTCCATAAAATGGAGAAATTTTTGCCTATGGAGTACTCAAGATGCATACACTCAGGGTCCGTTCTGAGATTTTAGGGGCCCTATGCGAAAAGTAAACATATGACACTTTTCTATATACAAAATATCAGACATTAAAATGTTACTTGATTTTTTTACATCTGGATAGTCTTTAACATACTTTTCAAGTGCTATTGCCCATTATTCATCTCTTCAATCACCTGAATAAAATATTACTGATCAAATAAATGCATGTAATCCCACCTTAATATAGCTTTCTAATAGAGCAAATAGTCCACAATAAGAAAATACTTGCATATTATGTTCCTCTTATATCTGTGCTTACCTTCATCATATATCGAAGTCTTTAGCATCAAAAAGTATCATCGAAAAATTATTCTCCTTGCATTTTTAGCTGCAAAATCACTAATTAAGCCTTTAACATCAATTTTATCTATAAAATCATTTTCAATGGATATCGAAGCTAGTCCATTTAGTCTTTCTTGTGACATGGTCGATCTCGGATAAGATTTTAATAATTTTAATTTTGAAAAACTTCTTTCTGCAGATGCGACTGTAACAGGTATAGTCAATAATATTCTATAAGCAATACATGCATTTGGAAAACAATTTTGTGTTTTTAAGAAATTCAATATATCAATAGCCATCTTTGTTTCTTTTGGTAAAATATTTCGTAAGATTTTTAGTTCTCCAAATAAATCTTTCCCATCAAGATCAGAAAATGTTTTATATTTTAGAACAATTTCAAGATTATCACAACATACTTTCAAATTATTATCATCTAATGAATTTAACTTTTCTGAACCAAACAAAAATCCAAAAATATCTTCATATGCTTTATATTGCTCAAACATTTTCTTTAGTGAACCAATAGCTTGATCTACAATATACAAAAAATAATTGATTCTAAAAGATTCTTCAGCTGATTGTGTTGTCTCCTCATTAACATTCTCATCAAATTGTCTTTTTCTACGGATTTGACGTTTTACTTGAAATACAGAATCAATTTCCATTTCAGTAGCAATTTCTTTAGCAATTGCCATAGCTTGTGTGAGCCCAACTTCTCTATAATCCTCGAAAAACCTAATCAATCCTTTTACTTGATCTATAGCAATATCAATAAGCATGTCTTTAGATTGTAAAGATTTGCTAATTAAGTTAACAGCAAACAATATATCATACCAAATAATCATACTTTATAAAAATTCAAAATTTTTAATTCCATGTGTTGCTAAAGAATCTGCTTCACTCTTTATTTTGGAGTCATTATCAGTTTCTGCTAACTGAAGTAGTGCTTCTCTTATTTCAAGCGTTTGGAATCTAATTGCTTTAACGCTTTCAACATGGCTTTCCTAACGTGTAGCCGATAGTGGCTTCACAGTTAAACATTTTATATTATTTATCAAAATTTGTCATCGCTTTGTTGAGTGAGAAAATAATGTATAAATGCATTGTATCACTCCAAAAAAGTCTTTTGCTTTACCACAACAAATTGCCATATCACAAAGTGTTAAAGTAAGACTATGACAATCACAAGACGTGTATAATGCTCTAGGATTTATATCAAGTAATTTTTTTTGTACACCTTGGTGTCTCCCTTTCATATTAGACCCGTTATCATACCCTTGACCTATTGCACATTTGATTTTAGAAGCTAACATACTTATCAATTCATTTTGAATGCTAGGACCAAGATAATGATAATGAATTTCATCATGGTCAATACGTCGAACATGTTCTTGCATTACCGTATCCCATTCTGCAATCATTTTAATTAGGCCTAAAAATTTCCATTATTATTTTGATAAATTCTCTCATTTGTTCCTCGAAATGCTAAGTTATGTTTAGCAAGATATTTAACAACAGAAATTATTCTTTATAATACTTTCTTCCAATATTCCTTCTCTTTATTAATTTTCTCTTGAATATTTTTATCGATTGTTTTATTTTTCTTTAATCTTATGTGTAAATCAAGCCAAGTACTCATGTTAAACATGTGCTCATTAGTTGTTTCATGTTCTTTAAGCCTAGCACTAAGATGTATCCAATCATTAACTCCTTCATTTATTAAAAAACTTTTCTTAAAACCATTTTTAAACAATTTACAACAAAACAGAATACTTTATCGATATCCTTTGAATAAACTAACCATTCCCTATCGTATTTCTCTCCATTTGATAAATACCTAGTGTAAAATATCAAAGAAAAACATCTTCCTAATTTATCTTTAGGACCTTTTTCGACTAATAGATCTCTTATAGGTACATGATAAAAAATACCCAATTTGACTAGACCTACTCAAGCTTTCAGGGGGGTTTCTCAGAAAACCTCAAAGTTTATTGGTACGTGATAAAAGGCTAAATCTCAATAAAACTCCCTTTAATTACCTTGGATGATTATTAGATAATCGTCATAACTTTTAAAAATGTCATATAAGCCCCCTTAAGTTTAGGGGTTACCATGAAATCTTTTTTTTTTGACTTTGAGGTTAACATAAAATCTACTTCGACTTTAAGATTATTATTTTTCATAAAACCTCCCTATATAACATAATTATGTGCAATTTTCACATGAGTGGCTAATATTACGTGAAGAGATATATTTTTGATTAAATCCTAGATATCTACTCTTGTATCAATTTATTTCTGCATTTGAGGATAGTTATTAAGCTTTTTTCCGTTCTAACCTGTCTGTTATCGATCAAATAGTTTATTGGGACCTTATTTGCAATATATGTATAATTAAATTTATACAAAACCCAACTAAATGGTCCACACAAAATTTTAGGAAAACAGAAAGCTCCGTCCAATCTCGGCTTTAATGGTCACAATTGATATGCAGCAAAGAGTCTAAAGAAAACGGATTTGGATCCTCTCCGTATTATCTAAAAAGTAGTGGAGAGACCATTACATAATCACAACCATTGATTATCTAGCTGATGGTTATAATTTTTTCTTTGAGTACAAATTAGGAATAAGTGCAATACACAGGAGTATGGTGAGTGTTAGATTTAGATTGTATCATAATAACCGCCTACTAAATAATCAACAATTGAGATTAAAAGTAGTGGTCTCTCCACTATTTTTTTTGTAGTGGAGAGGATCCAAATCCAAAGAAAACTAGTTTCTTTAACTTCAAGTATGGTAAGTTCTGTGCGCATTTAACTTCTAGTCATCACCTCTCTAATAAAGGGGTGTTTGGTTCAATTTCTACAAATTATAGGAAATATTTTCCACCCAAAATATGATTTCCTTATATTTCTTTAAAAAATTATAGGGAAATTTTTGAGAAGTCAAAAAGTATCATTTTTTTTACTTTGTTTGTTTGGTTCAAACAAGAAAATGACTCATAACTTTATAAAAAATAGCAAGATTTTTTATAATTTATAGAAATTGAACCAAACACCCCCTAAATTTATAGAAAAGTGTCAATTTTATAGAAAAATGTTAATGTGGTGTCAGATTTCTAGGTGATTTCCATCCATTTTGAGAGGAAATCGATTTCTGTAAATTTTGGTACTTTTTTGTACTTTACAAAAAACATTTCTATAAATTTTTTGAACCAAACACAATTTACGGAAATCTACAGAAAATTTTTATTTATAGAATTACCATTGTCAGATATTTTGAGAAAACTTTTCTATGAAGAAAACGACTACTTCAATTTCTTCTTTCCTTTCTTTTCATGACATAAAAGATGGTTCAAAGTGACAAAAAGAAATAACAAAACAATGGAAGGAAGAAAAAGTATAACTGCACTCTTTTTCATGTTAATCTTTTCTGGTAAGTTATTAATTAATTTGCATTGATATATCAGCAGAGGCAATGCAAGAAGAGTGAAATAACTGAGTTTCTTGTACTACCATGTGCACACAAGAAAGTTGATACATGATGAGAACAATGTACCGGCAATAATTCAGATATATGTCCCATTAATACTAACATATATGGCCAGATCATTGATGTTACCTTCCCCTCCATATCTCTGACAGGGACAAAACAATATCAACAACCAAAGTTTGACATATAATTCACAAAAATCATGAATTTTGTTTAGTCTCCCACTTCCCCTAATAATTTGTTTGGAACCAGATTATTCTTTGTATAGCCCTTATAATTAGCCTTGTTTTTTTACTACAACCATGGAAATTTGATGTAGTGAAACACTTCAAATTCAAATCTCATCATTTTCTATAAAAAAAATTCAAATCTCACCAGATACAAATTTACATAGAATTTAAGAAACATCTTCATTGCATAAAATAATTTAGATTTTGGCAAATGAGAAAAGTGTTCAACCTCTAGAATTTATTAGAGACCAAAGATATAATCTGCAACCTTTACCATAATTTTGAGCTTTGAAATAATAGAGTAATAAAACTTTTTCACACTAATAATCAAATTAGATGAAAATAAAAAGCTCTCAAACACTTCGATCTAAATAAATTTACATCAATACTTAGTACCCAAACATAGATAACAGGCCAAAGATAAACCAAATCAAATCCAATTATTCAAACACCTCCAAAACATTTGCAGAACAATCCACTTTTAGAGCTTCCCCTCTTCCCAGTAGCAGAAATAGAAGAAGAAGAATCAACACCAGGTTTCAATTTCAAATCACCATCACTTGGAACATAAGTAGAAGAATCAGGAGGAGCAGGCAAATCATCTTCATCCAACTCAGCCAACTCCCAATCTCCATCCTCCTTAATCACCATCCCCTTATTCTTCTCAACCCACCAAGACCCAGGAATCAACAACTCGTCCTTCAAATACTCCGAGCTCTTATTCACTAACCCAACACTCCTCTTCACCTTCAACTCAAACTCCCCCTTTTCACCAGTCCACCCTGCAACCGCGTGCAAAATCCCCTGCAGATTGTGCCAATCGCTCGAATTCTTTGAATCCTTCAAGAATGGCGATTTCCTGGCGTCGACGACAAGCTCTGTTCCAGTGTAAACGTACCCAAGTAGCCCACTTGGGTATAAAGGGATCAAGTCAATCTTGTTCTTGACGTGAAGAACACTGAGATTTGGTAGATTTTCAAGTTTGTCGTTGAAGGCTTTGTTACCGACCTGTGGACTGCCGAATACAATTGCGGCAACGGGGAAGTGATTTTTGCCGTTGGATATTTTCGACAGTCCACTTTCCACAATGTCGAACGCGCTTAAAATGGCCAAGCTGGCTCCAAGGCTGTGGCCGACGCAGACTATGCTCAAGTTTTCGCCACTATAGAGCTCAACCAGAGTCTTGACTCTGGATAAAAGCTGGTCTCTAGCGCTCAACTTATTGAATGGAGATTTCGCATCAGAAGAGGTATACATAGTGAACCAACCCTTCATTACTTTCTCGTCCTCGGTGGACAAAATGGGCTGGATTGAAACGAGTTCAGGCTTTATCACGTCGGCCCACTCAAGATCTCTGATCGTCCCTCGCCAAACGACATAGATCTCTCGACGACCATTGGCGACTGCGGCAGAGTCAGAGGAGACGGCTATGTATCCAATCCAATTGGATTCCATGCTCCAGGATTCACGGGAGAGAGAGAAGAGGAAGGCAATGGGAAGCCCGAGGTCGGAGGTGGCGTAGAGGAAGTCGGCGACGGAGTATTCTTCGGCGAAAGGGAAGTTAGATTTGGGGAGTAGGTTGCGCTTGCCGTATCGCTGGCACCGCAGTAAGCGAGAAGAGTGCGGTCACTCGATGAAAGGCGTCGTACGTGACTTGGCAGAAGTCGCCGCAGCGGAGGATAAGACGGCGGAGGGAGAGGTCGAGGGGGTTTAAGAGGTTGGCCCACTTGTCGGAGCCCAAGAGTTCGGCCCATGAAGGGAAGGAGGGTGGTGCTTGAGCCGTCATCGAGCGAGGAGGGGGGAGCAGTGGTTGCGGTATTGTGATAAGGTTTCGGACCTTCTGGACGAGAAAGGAGAGAGAACATCCTTGCTCCCTAATAATAATTAGGGTTTTTATGCTAGGCCTTCAAAACTTTAATATTTCAAATTTAGTCTCCCAGAGCATAAAATTTCTAATTAATGTGGAATAGCCTATAAAAATGGGAGGACATAACTGAAATTTCAATGACTTGAGTGAGTAATTTGAAACAACTTATTGCAACTTGGGACCGACCGCAATTTCTCCTTGAGTGAATTTCTCCTTGAGTGAATAGTAATATGCATGGTCATTCCTCATTCTCCTTGAGTGAACAGTAATGTGCAAGGATGCATGTTTGATAAGCTCAAAGTTAAAATTGATTCATGGGAGCTAGGGTTTGTTTGGTATTGCTTTTCTTAGGGTGCTTTTGTTTATTTTTCCAATAAGCAATCAAATAGCAATGTTTTGGTGGAAACTTTTTTTAAGCATGCTTATAGAATCTATTTCTGCTTTTAAGGGAATGCTTTCACAAGCAACTTGAAGATACTTTTAAAAGTAGCTTTTATTTTTTATAATTTATTAACGCAGCGTAGAAGTGATAAATCTCGAAATCCACCAATAGGTGCTCTTTGAATCTGTAAAAAATAACCATCAAAATCCACGAAGAACTTCAAATCCACGGAGAAAATATAATAAGAGAATTTCTATTGATAAGAAGTTTTGTCTCTCTGGCTTACAATCCCCTGCTTAAATAGAAAATAAACAATACTCCTAAAATATTCAAATAGGACCCGAGCCTTACCAAAATTAAAATAACAAAACTCTCCTAAAAACACTCATTTTAACTTAGAAAACAAATCAGTTAAATTCAGAATCAAATCAGATTTATTTTCTAATCAAAACAGACTCCTAAAATATTACCCAAAATAGTAAAAAACTAACAAAAACTCTGATATCTC